GAGTGTTTTAAACGGCTTAAAAAACTCCAACACTAATTTGAAACCCAAATCCGTTAAAATTCTTGGAGAAATTGCCGTACAAATATGTTCAGAGATAAATGGGGCAAACTGATCATGCACGAATCACTTTACAAAGCACTCTTGTCATCCCACATTGAATACGCATAAATTAAAATAGAAGCACTCTTGGCTGTTTACTGCTGAAATCGGTTGACATCCTGCATTGATCAATGATCAGGTTTCAAACCTTTGATAGGGTCATGTACCTTTATGATAAAGGCCCTTATATTAGTTCTTTATATAAAGAATACTAATAAGGAGTGTTTTATCAGATATAAAGGTCCATGCATGTGATCAAATAGTCTGATTCTATTGGCCTTACTAGTAGCTCATTAATTATGTATGAGTTAAGCTTACATCTTTAATAATTATTATAAAATAACKTGTCAAAAGCAAGTTACATTTTACTATGAAGCTAWAAATTGAGAAGTTTAGTGAGTATTTTGAATATTTTGACTACTATTACATTTGATAAGTTCAAGCATAGGGAAAATTATCATTTTCTATTTCGCACTTGAATTGCATTTATTGTTGTCGTATAAATGCTTGATTGAAGAATSACAACCAGCYGTCGTACCTTGCRAGCTGAAGTGCCATTTTAGATGGACACAAAAATGGTGAGCGCGAATCATCTTCCATCCTTTCAGTTTGGACATAAATACCTTTTTAAAACTAAGTACCTCACAGGTACTATCAATATATAATCTATTTTATGCTTGTTGCATGCATTTAAACATATGTAAATAATAACAAAAGCGCATGCTGTATGTTAGTTGGTKAGGATTCTTTAAGCAAGTAAATTCAGCAGTCAATGCATCTAATATCATTTTTATGTTGTCTTCCAGTGATATAAAATTAATGTCACCTAGAAAAAGGTTTTTTTTTTCAGGTATCATAAGTACCTTGATGTTAATAGTCTTGCAGTAACACGTTTAATTGAGGGGTAAGTAGGTTGAAAATAGCACTGTGAAAGTTTACTAAARTTAACTGAATAGAATATTTATTTACACAAGGGCTCTAGAACTGAAATTATGACCTATACATTTGGTTCTTTATGTTGAGAAGTTATAGTGATAATAGATAAAGTTTTACTTATCTGAAACATTATTGTGAATATGTCATCTTGACCACTAAAAAGTCCCTGATTTTACAAAATGATCATTATTTACTCAGACAGTTTAACATAATATCACTTCTTGCGCTGGATACCAGCAATACAGTACCTACTGATTGACCAATTTAACAGGTTTTATCATTTTAACATTATTTTGTAGAATGGTACAAAAGTTCCAAGTCCATTCACAGAGTGATAAAGCAGAAACACTACAAACACTTTGTAATGTGTTTTTGAACTCACAGCTCAGTGAATCCTCTGATGAAATAAAGGTAAAAATAATTAAAAACGTGATTATTTTGATACTAGCTTTGAGTTAAAAACAACAAATGGTTATTCAGTTGTTTTGGTGAAGACAAAGACCTTCCTCAGTATGAAACAATGTTTGCATGCACAAACTTTATATGTTAGTGCACACATGTTTTACAAAATTCAATTCTATAAGTCCCCTGTAGGTTACAGGAGGCTGGATTAGTGCCATGCCCTGAGAAAAATGCGCCGATGATAGTCTTCCTCTCTGTCTCCTCTGAGACAGTTGTTCTCTGATAGTGGAGACTTGTAGAAGATAAGTAGA